ATTGATCTAATTATTTTTAAGGATATTATATGACAACAAAAATAAATTTAAAGAGGCTATAGGAACTTTTATCTCACATTAACACAGTCTTGTTACTATTTATATTAATTTAGACATTTAGACATTTTTGTCTAAATACTATTTTGACTCTAGACAACCCCAAAAACAATTTGGACACTCATCTATACTTACAACAACACATCATAAATATAATCTCCGAAAAAAAAAGTCCATAAACTATGACATTGATCCATTAACAAAGAAAATAACGTAAGTATAAACCGAAACATTAATATTAATAATGGTAGATATTTAATTTTAATTATATTTATACCATCATCACCGTCATCACCGTCATTACCTGAAAAACATGAGGTATAAATAACATAAAATATTAAGATAAAATATTAATTGTTTTTTTTTTATATATAGGAAATGAAATTTGCGAAATATATAATCCATTGCCATAAGAAACTATAATATAATTTTTATATTTCTTTTTGCTCATAAATAAAGTTAATAATTAATATGTAAATATATAATTTTTCATTCAAATCATATTACATTTATAAGATAAACTTAAACAGAATGCCAGTGATGACCAAATTTTGATCCCTGAAATCCTTGGTAATGCAAATGTTCACTTTGTCTGGTTTTGTTGCAGCGTGCCCATATCATTCTAGGATTGCCAATTTAATTTCTAAATGTGCCTAGCCTAAACCAACCCATCAATAAAATTAGCATTACATATCTAAACTCGATCAGTCGGACGCAGCAATCAATTGTTTTAAAGTACTTTATAATATAAATAAATGTCCGACTTATCGAGTTTAGATGTGTATTTAAATTCGGGACAAATTCGGGACATAATAATAATTGTTGTAAATTACAACCCGAACCCGACCCAAAGTTATTGATGTTAAGACCAAACCCCCAACCTGATGCGGGCCTCTATTCGAGAACCAACAATTAATGAAAGTTGTTTATTTATTTACTAAAATATGATTTTGAAAATAAATGGTTTTTATTTTTCTAAATAAAGAAAGATCTTCACTTACATAAATTGTTATTATTGTGGAAATATTAATTTAAAAATTCTATTTTTTTAATTTATTATGATTGAATAAAATAATTTTGAATTGTTTAAAACTTCACATTATAATTTTTTGTTTTATGAATTTGATGAACCTGGTGAACCTGGTGAACCTGGCGAATCTGATGAACCTGATGGACCTGATGATGATGAACTGGATGAGTCCCCTCCACCTTCTGATGACGATGAACTATTATTTCTAGTGTGCAATGGTTCAAACAATTTAATGCTGTCTTGTTGTAATTCATACATTTCTTGTCTAATTTCTTCAGCATTTGCATCTTCTCCTTTTGCAACTACACCTCTTAATTTCTCTATTTTTTCTTTAAGCTTAGTGACACCCTCAGCATCCACTTCATTTTTGAATCGATCTAAATTTTTCTCTGTTTCATGAATCGCTGATTCTGCATGATTAGCTGCCTCAATAACATCTTTACGTTTTGCATCTGATTCAGCAAACTTTTCAGCCTCATCTATCATCTTGTTGATTTCATTACTGGTTAGACCTGATGATGCTACAATTGTTATAGATTGATCACGATTAGTAGCTTTGTCTTGGGCTGAAACATTGACGATACCATCTGCATTAATGTCAAAGGACACCTCAATTTGTGGTACTCCTTTTGGAGCTGGCGGGATTCCATCTAATTGGAAGTTACCCAACAATTTATTGTCACGGCATAATTCACGTTCGCCCTGATAAACACGTACATCGACTACAAAAATAATAAAAAATCATTATAAAATTATTATTTTTAATATGAATATTATATTATCACTTATGTAATACCTTGTGTTTGACCATCAGATGCGGTTGAAAATACTTGAGATTTTTTAGCAGGAATGGTTGTATTACGATTAATCAATCTAGCGAAAACACCTCCAAGTGTTTCGATACCCAAAGAAAGTGGCGTGACATCAAGAAGGAGAATATCGGTTATTTTTCCAGAAAGCACACCACCTTGAATTGCTGCTCCAAGAGCAACAGCTTCATCAGGGTTGACACTTTTACTTGGTTCTTTACCGAATATTAATTTAACAGTTTCAAATACCATTGGCATACGTGACATTCCTCCAACCAAAATTAT